CCTACGGGTAATGCTAATGTCCATGGGCGGCGGCTATCGCTTAACATCAGGTGAACCGCTAGCTCGTTTGCCACTTTTTCACAAAAAAAAGTGGGGCGGTTAGGAGAGCGGGCTGTTCGTTTTACTGTTAGCCCTACAGCTGCTTCTTCTGTTCTACTCGTTCGGGAAAGTAGTAGGCTTTGTGACGTTACATTTTGCCTGATAGTGAGGTAACCAGCGATCAGCCTCATGGTTAACTAGGCAACTGCAACCCCATGGGTGTTGAAGATGGTGTCTATCATCATCATCATCATCATTTCAGCCTGTTTGAGTCCACTGCTGAACATAGGCCTCCCCTATAGACTGCCATGAAGTCTATAGAAGGCGGTAATTAATTAACATCAGGTGAAACTATTCGTTTGCTTTCTCCTATAAAAATATTCAGCATCTGTATTTAATGAAAGTTCACGTTTCAAAAAAGTGTTTATCTATCTAACATTGTATAATTTTTTAGTTTTGATCATTTAAGGTTTTCATTTTTATTGAGATCGGATAACACAACGGTTCGACGCTTCCGAGGGCGTATTGAAAGTGTTAAAGCCATCTCCAGCTTTTAGACTGTATAGAAATCAAAAATTAATAAATAAAAATTATGTTCAAAAACTAAAAACCGACATCTCATAAATCACTGTCTGAATAGTATCAAACGAGAAAATATCTGAAATTATTATGTACAAACTATTTAGTATTTATCGTCTTTTAAATATACAACAACATATAATATATGTTTATTAAAAAGAAAGAAGTCCTATCGTGTCAGTAGCTATCTGGCCATATTTTGTGTAAATGTAAATACCCTTACAAAACTAACAGTAAGCGATCATCAGCTTTATGTCAAAGTATGCGCAATAACTGCCCAACTAAAAATTAACGATAATATTATTTATTCATTTAAATATTTTTTACTAACGTAAGATACAGTCAATTAAGATGCATACAAATTATTTGTTACATAGGTATTACGACTGTTCTCACATTTATTAGTGACCACATCATGTCAATGTAATGAAAAACAATAGATATAAAAATTATATAAGTTAAAAATGAGGCTAAGAAAGGTCAGGAAGGAAAGGATTTTTAATTTTTTGCATTAAAAGTAGCGATGCCATCATTAAATGAGAGCTTCAATGACCATGTTTTAATGTTACCGTTAAACGGGAGCTGTTATCGTCTTCACCACGTGGAGTTTTTATTATCATTGACCACGAATTTAGGGTTCCATACCCAAAAGGGTAAAACGGGACCCTAGTACTTCTTCTTCTTCTTTGATTAATGGCCTCTCTTAAAAGAAAACCCTAGTACTTAGACTCCGCTGTCTGTCTGTCTGTATGACACTAGGCTTTATCACGTGATAGTTGAATAGTTGAAAATTTAACAGACGATGTATTTCTGTTGCCGCTATAAGAACAAATACTAAAAACAGAATAAAAAAATATTTAAGTAGAGCTCACACACAACAGATTTTTTGCCTTTTTTGTAGATAATGGTACGGAACCCTTCGTGCGCGAACCAACTCGCAACTTGGCCAGTTTTATTTATATAATATAAAATAACGCGTCTTTAGTCTTAGATAAAAATTAGTTTTCTTAGTCAAGCTTGCAATGAAAATGCTTCATTACACTCAGCTATTCCTGTCATAGATCTATTTTATCCAATAAATCTCTGAATGTGTCTAGTGATGCAGTTAGCCGCTGTGATCTTATCAGCTTACAAGTAGGTAATATGATACAAAGTTACGTAAGCCTTTGTGGCAATGTTGCAAACGAAGGTTTCTTCGTTTCAATTGCGTAGAAATAATTTATATTTTTGCCGTTTAACGTGGCATATGAGCTGCCGTAGTAACGTTCTTACATACGTTGATGACTCCGTGGCGCAGTTGCCAAGGTATTGGCTTCGGCACTGATAGTTGTTTCGCATCTGGGTGTTTGTCCGCGTGAAATTTATGTTTGTAATAGTCCTTACAACACGGGATAATATTATCCTTAAGTAAGGGCAATGTTTTTAACAAAATAAAAAAAAATAATAATATTGTATATCTTTATATATATGTATAATTCTTCTCTACGTGTGTATGCCACTGAACTCCTCCTAAACGGCTGGACCGATTTTAATGAAATGTTTTGTGTGTCTGCACGTCGATTCGAGAATGGTTTCGGTTCACAATTCGGTCCACTACAATTTTTTTTTAATTTGTAAGTTGTCGAATTTAAGTTGTGTGTAGTGGAAAACGTCGGTCCGGTCCACTAGTATATATTTTATACAAAATCTGTATATAACGTTACTCTGTGTAAGATAAGGGAATCAGACAGTAGCAGTCTGATGGCCGCAAACGACTACCCGAGGAGGTAGCTTACTTGATTCCAAATGACATTTAAAAGTTGCATAACAACACGGATGGCATTTACAATTTGGAAAAAAAAACCTAGTTAACAAATAACAAATACCTTCTTTCAAAATAAAAACGCGATAAAATCCGTAAACTAGTTTTATTTAATACCTGGTTAATTTATGAAAAGCGCAAGCTAAATGTACTAGGGCGACACGAATGTTAAGTTAGTGGAATTACGTTTCTACGGATGACGTTTAAAAATTGGCTAATATATCCTGGTTTAGTTTAAAAAGTAATTTGTTATGTAAGCGTCGCCGAATGTACTAGGGCGACATGAATGGCGAAGCTAGTGAAATTACGTTAATGCGGTGTGCAGCGTGGGGTTATAGCGAAATTGGTGTAATCAAATCCATCAGTGTGGCACGTGACGTGGGCCGGTTGGAAATTATGAAACAGCCACACTCCTTTTTGCACCTTTGTTCATGCACACGCGAATTAAAGCATAGTGCAATCACGAAGCGTTTTTGGATAAAACTGCCCTTAACGACCATGAGCCCGCTCGACTTTTAATCCTAATGACGTTACAAAATATATAAGCTATCTCTTTCTACCTCATTATATCCGCTATTCGTTGCGTCAATACTGAAATGTGTAATTTTACCAGCAAGTCTGATCTGCGTAAATCTGACCGAATTAAATAATTAAAAACGTTAGCCTGTGTCAATTTTGAGGTTAGGTCTGTCCCTGGTTACTGTAGTGTTCAAAGCATCCTGAATTTTAAACATATTTAAACACGATTTAATCCACGTGTTACTTTTTTATTAAGTTAATTTATTTTATCGAGTTTTGTTTACATTTACATTACCGAAACGTTATTACGTTATTTAAGTTCTTCTAAAAACCAAATCTTTACTTTAACGATAATTGAGTCACGTTTTTAGGATCACGATTATAACTGCAGACACCTCAGTCTACAGTTTGTACATTTGTAAGCATCTACCAGACAATATTATACATAATTATACTATACAATAGAGTACATTTAATTTATTTTACATTTTAAATGATTCCTTCAATATGAACTATTGAAAATTTACACAAAATGAGACAGAAATTAGTTTTCTCGTTCTTAATATATAAATAAGCTTCTTAATATATAAATAAGCTTTGACTGAACCTCAATATTGAAAGAATTTAACGCCAGTTAGTGCTAATTGAGGTCTCTGTAGCGGCCGCATGTACACAGTCGTTACGTCGTGCACCGTCGTCAATTAAATAACACACACGCCAATCCAAATTGGGCCTTAATCCGACGAGTTACAGTCGCTTGTGGTCCGCGCCGCTTCACGCTCTAAATATATACAGCGTGTTTCAAGTTTCAGACGGGTCGACCGCGGCCACCATTGTGGCGTCGCAGGCAAACCGCAACTCGGCAACTAGACGAGTCACACGCTGGCTGCAGACAAACACGAAGATGGAGGAAGTTGCATTAACGAGACTAGTTGGACCCGTGCGAAATTATCACAGTACTGTGATCAGCTGCTGAATGGGAATAAATTAATGTATAAGTATTTATCAATTAACGTCAGGTTTCGATATTCTATCTGTATATTTGGTTACTGGAGATATAATTTTGACGTAAGCCTATGTCTAATACCTATCGATATTAGCCCAATCTACAAATAGATTGAGTTAGGGATTGAAAACGGCCGCAAACGTTGACGAATAACGTTCTTCAGTCTGCGTCGCAATCTTTAATTTAAATAAATTGTCAATGGACGGCATTCTTTATAAGACTACCACGACACGATCCAAGGGCCCATCAGATGGAGGTTCGAATCTCGGCTTGGATCGCAATCGTTGAGGAAGGAATAAGTTTGTAATTTGGGCCTGCACCAGTGGATTTGGATTTTCATTAGTGGAAAAATATTGTGTGATGTAGATAGTTTTGTTTTTCTAGTGTCTGGGTGTTTTATATATTTACTACTAGCGACCCGGCCTCACATATAAAACTTTCCCCTTGAATCACTCAATCTAGTAAAAAAACAGCATCAAGATCCGTTGCGTAGTTTTAAAGATTTAAGCATACATAGGGACAGACAGACAACGGTACTACTTAATTTTATACTATGTAGTGTATTTTCATTACTACTATGTGTTTGTGTTTACAAAAGAAAATTATGTTTAAGTGTGATTTTCAGTTACCTAGTACCTTTAACAGGATTTGCTTACAGTAGATGTAAAAATGTGCCCAGAAAACCTTCAAATCAAATCATTTATTATCCATTGAAATAAGAAAATATACATTTCATTTATCGATAGTTATTTTTTAAATCAATTGAGGCGAAAGAAACTCCGTATTTGCTTATATGTTTGCATTTATTTGCTTATATGCTGTGAATGACTCTATTTAAAGGGGGCGCATCGGTGCTCTTATTTACACCGCGTAGACTATGCGCCGGTCTACCGAGCCCGGTGGTTAGCCGCCGACCGTGGAGCGGCGACAATAACGGGACGTTCACGGGCCGCGAGCAAGCAACCCGACACCCCGCCCCCCCCCCCCCCCCACTACTTCTTACCCTCGATCGCGCCGTGACAATGGAATCGGTCATGCGAAGATCTAATCTCTCAGCGGCTCCTGCTGTTTTACGAATGGGCAGACAAGTCCGGGTCGGAATGGCTCCTGCAGTTGTACGAATGGGCAGACAAGTCCGGGTCGGAATGGCTCCTGCTGTTGTACGAATGGGCAGACAAGTCCGGGTCGGAATGGCTCCTGCAGTTGTACGAATGGGCAGACAAGTCCGGGTCGGAATGGCTCCTGCTGTTGTACGAAGGGGCAGACAAGTCCGGGGAAGTACCACGGCCTCACAGAGACCGGTGCATCTTTAGTAGTAAAGTAACAGCCTATAAATGTCACACTGTCTAAACCGACACAACTTAATGAACGTGGCCAACCGAAGAACCATTCACCTTGCCACATTGCTTTTCGGGGCAATAAAGAAAGGTGAGCCGTCCTATTTATTTGAAAAGCTAAAATTCTCACAGCGCTGCATTAAGACAGCACCTAGACTAAATTACCCGCACGTCTGTCTTTAGAGGCAGCTTTCGTTTTGCTGCCACAAAGTGCTGGAATGATCTCCCACCCCCAATAAGACTCATAAATTCCATTAACTCATTTAAATTTAATCTAAAAGAATTTTTACTCTCTAAACAGAAGCACTTAAGACTTTCTTTCTTAACTAATATGAACACAAACACACACAGTCTCGTTCCATCTCATAACACAACAACAAAATCTTCTTCACACAGAACACAAGCATGGCAGGTAAAACAAGTAATTTGTATTTGTTTCAAAACAATTGTATCCTTCATGTGTAGCGTTTCTTACTTTTAGTCAAATATTCTTGTTGTTCTTTTATAATTATTTTATTGTATCCTATATTAATTCTCTACGATTATTACGTAGGGCCATCTATCTCTTTCCCCCGAGGTTCCACTGAAAACCAGCATTAACGAAGGTTGTCATCTTCGTGATATAAAGCTGAGTGGTGACCATTTTGGTTCATTTTAATCATAGGTATTTAGTTTTTAGCATCTATTGTATTTTTTTTTGTTATTATGTGCCAAATAAATGTTTCTTTCTTTCTTTCTTTCACTGCTGGGCAAAGCCCTCCTCTGTACAGAGGGTATCATAGGGTTTGAATAGTCATCCACGCAACCCCATTACGAAATGGCGCGCTTAACATATCTTCGAAATATTTTTTTGTAATTATTTCAAAATATGCAAGTTTTCTAATGATGTTTTCCTTCACCGGTGAGCATATGATAAAGTCAGCACTTAAAATTAACAATTTCATTGGTGCTTGCACCAGGGATCGAACCCAGGTTGCTCGAGTAAAGTGCTATCACACTTCGCGTTCATTAAAAAAAAATAGTATTTATTTAAGAAGAAACACCGACATTATAGAAGTAATGGTAGCATTAGTTTAACCATTTTATGTCTCGCATTACATTAAAAAACTTAATTTATAGAAATTGCAATTCAAATGAAAATAATGAAGATCTTTCCTAAACTAAAACTCCTATAAAGACTATGTCAAACATAAATGTTGCTCCGTTTATTATAGGGGCCAGTTATAGGGAAAATTAACATCTCTCCTAAAGGTTTAAGTCAAGAATTTCTGTATTAAATAAATATATTGGGGGGCTTTTTGGAAATAAGAATTTTGTTTCGTTTCTGTTGTATTGTCTGGTTAACTCACAATAGATGTATCAATAATAAAGATTACCTCGTGAATACATTAGTAGGTTAATTCTTATTTATCGTACGCGGTTATTCGATTAGTGTTTATTTGGTATTGGTTATTATCAGGTTACGCGATTATTGCAGAACAAACATACGATAATATTAAAAAATCAATTGGTAAAAATATCGCTAGCATTATCATGAATCGGTCTAAAATCTTTAAGATGCCGAATTCGTTATCCAACTTATACTATGTTAATTCGTTACTTTGCTTCAAATGCTAAATAACAATGTAGAAAGAAGGCGTTAAGATTTTCGTCGGTGTGGCAATAAGCCGTTTAGCTTAGTGGCTAGAGCGTCAGGCCGCGAATGCCAAAGCGACTATCTTTTCGTACTTTTTCTACATGTTTTAATGTTCAATCTTAAGTGCAGACATTAGCACTATAAAATTTTAAATTTATAATTCGTTACTACTAAAGTGCTCACCTCAACCTATAGTGGTCAAGTTAGTGCAGTAATTATGATGGACTTGTCGATTTGTAAAAACATATCGTGAAGTGCTACAGATTAAGGAGTAATCGTTGGTGTTCTTCGTGTTATTTCGACGCCTTTTAAAGTTAAGATATTAAGGAAAGCCTTGACTCCGTCACCGGATGCGAACGGGAGCGGAAAGCGTCTTGTCCGAAAATAAACGCGTAAAAAACTCACCGGCCCGCGTATCGAATTACCGTGCATCTGGCTCCGGTGTTAAGGAGGGCATAGAGATGAGTGCATGTGCATATTTCGCTCTCCTTGTGACTTATGTACGCCTGGTAGATTGTAACAGTGCAGTTACTTTGTTGCAATTTCGTCTTCAATCAAATTTGACATTCATCCGATCCACGCTGGTCTGGTGTGAGGCCGTAGTACTTCTCCAGAAAATGTAATTGATGTAGTAGATTGTCTTTTGATTAACTTTAGCTCAACTCGTCTCAGTCTCCTCGTTACTTATTTACGCCTGGTAGATTGTAACGATACTTTGTTGCAATCTTCGATCATATTTGACTAAGACTTGTCCGATCAAGTCAAAAGTTTGGGAAAAGAAAAATAATTGTGTAAAATAATTGCTGAAAATTTTGCACTTAAAAATAAACAAAATTAACAAATTAACAATTGATATTAGTGTTTTTTTTATGTAAACTTCATTTGTTACACAATAAAATACATGTAGGCACATAGTTATATAGGTATCAAATGTTCTGAGCTTTACACACAACATATTAATTTCCCTAATATCGTCGGGACTGTTTAAAGAGATTATTTCCGTGGCGAAAGCGACACCATAATGGCGGCCCGTCACGTGACCTTGTTATATTGTGACAGGTGATTTGGCGCGTTTCGAGGTGCACAGCGTGACGTCTCCCGGAGGCAAAATTATACTCGTCGCCCTCGTGAACGATTTCGACGCGTTATTATGCCTTAATGCGACTGTATAAGCGCTAAAGTTGTGTGGCAATAAGGTGGATAACACCGAATAGGAAATTTTGTAACGCATTGTTCGGCACTATAAAGGGGGCGGACGGTGCGGCACGCGACTTTCATTATGCGTGGAAAATCTCTTAATTAATGTGCAAAATAAAGTCGTGACGGGATAATCTTCAAAATTAATTATTCAACCGTCATTCAGTGTTTATTTTAAGAGGCTATTCTTGAACATAGGTACAATTTAATTAAGCTTTGATGGTAAAACTTTAGATTTTGATTTAGATATCGTCAGTGAATTAAATATACAATATACAAAGTAAAGTTTATTCCATTAAAAATCTCCTTTATATCGTCATTTAGGCCTCACGCAGTGTAGCTATGAATGAGAATATATCTCATACGCGAAGTAAGTTTTACTTACCTACTAGTCTTTTAGCCATACGATATTTGCTGGTCGCCGTGACCTCGAAATTACCGTGCACCGAGCACATTCCCAGAACCTCTGGAACGGTGCGATCGATTAAAAAAAACCGGCTAAGTGCGAGTCGGACTCGCGCACGAAAAATTCCGTATGATTATCCATAAAAACGGAAAAAAGATCATGTCTGTTGTACGAGAGCCTCTCTCAAATATTTTTTTTATTGTATGTTTTAGTATTTGTTGCCGCTATAACAGGCAACAGAAATACATCATCTTTGAAAATTTCAACTGTCTAACTATCACGGTTCATGAGTTATAGCCTGGTGACAGACGGACAGACAAACAGACACACAGGCGAAGGGAATAATAGGGTCCCGTTTCACCCTTTGGGTACGGAACCCTAAAGCGAACGCGAAAGGGACGAGGCTCTCGGTGTTTTCGCTCAGTCCGTGCTGTTTGCTCATTATTCGCTCATTAAGTCCAAATCCAACATCCACTTAGGGCCGTACAGAAGGCGGCCGGGCAATCGGCTGCCCGCACGCGAATGTTTGCCGTACCACCTGCCGCGAAGTCGGCAAACTTTCAGCGCACGCGCCCCATCGACCGGCGAGGCCGCAAATATTGACACTACTCTTGGCGGGAATTTTTTTTTAAATTTCTACGCGGTTCAAAAAACGACCGCGACCTTTCGGTGGTAGGGCCACGCAGCAGCCTCGGCTGTTGCACGAATGGGCAGGCTCGTCCGGGTAAGTACCACGACCTCACAGAATACCGGCGTCAAGTGGAAGTATAATACTTTCGCGTTTCGTCTGGTGAGTGAGGTAGCCGGAACCCAATCATCAAAAAGTTGTCAACGCATCTATAACCTTCGGGTTTGGCAGATGTCCATGGGTGGCGGTATTCACTTAACAGCAGGTGAACCGTCTGCTCACTTGGCAAGTATTCACATAAAAAAACACCTTGCCCGTACTCCCGTCGATGGGACGGTTGATTTTTAAGAGATGAGTGCGTGATTTTTACAGTTATACCTCTTTTGGCGCGTTAGGGAAAAATGATGAGAGTAAATTTTCACTATGCGCTCGCTCACCGTCACGAAAAACTGACACCCGGAAATTAGGTAGACATCTAAGTATGTTTGCGTGAAAACTGACAACTGCATTCACGATATTTATTTTGTAATGTTTAAATAAACTTTATTTAACTAGATGATGCGCTATAATAAAACTTTCAATGTATTTAATACCTTTTTTTTCTATTGTTAGTGTCGTTTAAGGCGTAGTATAAGGCGAAAGATAAAAATTTTGAAGAGATTTTTATCTTGTTACGCCAAAGAAGTATAACTTCTAACGCGTGTACATATGTACACACACACACACATTTTTTTAATGTGATAAATACTGTCGTGTTACGCGATGAAGATAGTTGACGAAATAAACCACTCATTTACAACCATGATTCCATGTTTCAATTTAAAGTTTTACCTTGTTGACTGTGAATGTGTCCGAACTGGAATATTAAATATTTAAAGGATGAAATACCTATGTTTAAATAAAAATTATCTGTTGTAATTATGTGTTACTGTTTGTATTGGGTTAATCGCTTAGTTGGTAATTAGTGCGCCGAAACCGAGGCATTCAAATTACGACAATTGGTGTAATTTCTCTTCTGTTCGGTCCGATCTCTATAGACTCTACCTATCTCTATAGACTCTAGCTATCTCTTTTCGCATCAAACGTTCTATATTATCTGTCACATATTCATATCACTCATATTTTTCATATAATATATGTAGC